GATGTACTAAATTAGCAGGACATTGATTGGACCTTGAGATATTTTGTGCACGGATGTCTTGTCGCCGTGCTGATACTCTGATAGCCCAGTGCAGACAACGTGACGCCGGCCGTGTGTTGACGCGCCGGTCCGTTGTCGGCGTGACGCCGGCCGTGTATTGACGCGCCGGTTCGTTGTCGGCGTGACGCCGGCCGTGTGTTGACGCGCCGGTTCGTTGTCTGCGTGACGCCGGCCGTGTGTTGACGCGTTGGTCTGCTGTCGGCTGACGCCGGCCGTGTGTTGACGCGTTGATCTGCTGTCGGCTGACGCCGGCCGTGTGTTGACGCGCCGGTCCGTTGTCGGCGTGACGCCGGCCGTGTGTTGACGCGCCGGTTCGTTGTCGGCGTGACGCCGGCCGTGTGTTGACGCGCCGGTTCGTTGTCGGCGTGACGCCGGCCGTGTGTTGACGTGTTGGTCTGCTGTCGGCTGACGCCGGCCGTGTGTTGACGCGTTTGTCCGCTGTCGGCTGACCCGGCCGTGTGTTGACGTGCCTGTCCGCTGTCGGCTGACCCGGCTGGACCGTTGACAGGGTCGCCGCGGAGAGAAGGGTGTTGGTGTCCCCGGCGCCAAGGGAGAGCCGGGGGTGAGTCGATCCCGCTACAGTGGCGGACACGGGCAGCTTCGGCGCCACGACGACGTCCGAATGCTGCTCAGGGAATGACGCCGCCGCTTCATCTTCATGTCGTTGCGAAGGGATTTAGCCTCTCATCTGTCTCTTGGACAATATGCTTAGCCCCCTAGATTCCAGAATGTTGTATCTTAAAACACGTTTGCACTCCAGCTTCCCAGCGTTTTTGGTGGATGTGTAAGATACGCAGTTTTATCAAAGGTAAGGTTATGCATTGTTTAGACGTCCTTTGGACAGCAAATAACCATAAGAGCTTACGATAGCAAAAGATAACTTCCGAACTGTGTGTAGACGAACCTGATCAACCTCAGTCTGGGCCACGTTCATATCCGCTTGCAGTAATCCATTCAGGTGTTTGTAAGGGGGAGGGAGGCAGTTCAGGGTTCTGATGATCGCTGACCTGTATGACTCTGTTCGGGCAGGTGTGTGGCTGTGAGGACAGTTCAAACGGCAAGGGAGGCATGTACATACCGGTGCCGGGGCCGTCGGGACCTGCAGGCCCCAAGGTACCGCATCAGCGCTGACAAATGCACGGTTGGAAGTTCCTGTGCCCGTGCTGAGGTGTAGTGGTCTGCCAGCCATCATAACAATTGGGTGCGGCCGGGATGAATGCCCTATCATGTCGTATCTTTGCTCTTTTCATGAGACAGCAGCCGAGTATTGTTTAGCATGTTCAAGCACAGCTGATGGCGACAGGGCCGGCCGATCACGAGGCCCGTGAGCTGGCGCCATCGCCTCGGGGCCCTGACTGAACGTGGAATGATTCACCGCCCCCGTCTGTGACCTGCGCTGACCGCTGTCGGCCGGCTGCCGGGCAGGGCGACGACGTCGGCAGCCCAGGCCTCTCCATCGTCGGCGAGCCAGGCCCCCCGGCCCGCCCGGTCCGGCGGGACGGAGCCAGGTGGGGTCACCCGGCCGGCCCGGCATCGGTCTGCCAGGTACGTTCCGTCCGTCCCGTCTGTCCCGTCCCGTCCCGTTCCGTCCCGTCCCGTCCCGCGGCTGTGCTGCCATCGCCGCGCCGACGAGCCGCTGCGATGACGCGCTGCTTCGGTGCAGATGGCGCACGTGTACGGGCGCGCCGCTCGCCGCCTCGCTGCGGCGGCGGCCACGCGTGCAGGCAGACGGCGACGGGAATGTTGGCCTCTGAGCGTTGGCAGGAGGCCGTTTATACGAGCTTTGTTGGCTACTGTCAGCGCCATGGTGTGTGCGTCCAGTGACGCATGTCCTGAATTAGTCCATGCTGAGTGTGAGACCATGTGGTTTTGCGTTGATGGCATTGTAAGTAGCGGCGGCGTTGATGCTGCTCTCACCCGTCGCTGACGCTGAATGGTTGGATGGTGACGCTGTGGCGCCACTGTTAACGATGTGATGGAGCATGACCTCAGTGGTGATGTGGCGATAACAATTGACGTCACTAACAATGATTCGGTGAGCGACACCACTGATTGTGATTGTGCGCTTCACAAAGGGATGAGAAGGCGTCCCACCAACTCTATCACGGAGCTCCGTCTGCAGCTGGGCAGCGGTAGGTTTAGACAGTGGTTGTGATTGAACCTCCCCCCCCCCCCCCCCGGGCACCTAGACGCCCTGGTGTTGAGCGAAGCAGTCCCCACCCCCGACTCACACCACCTACAACTCCTGCGCGTGCTTGGTCGTGATTGCAACCATGGCTCCCCTCCCCCCCCCCCCCCCCCCGCCAACACCAAAAGCGCATACGAGCCCTGGTAGTGACGGGGAGCAGGTCTCCATCCTCTCTGCCAGACTGTAACTGGAGAACCGGCGCCTCTCAGCTGGTCGGCGTTATCTACAGGAGCGGCTTCGCCCCTTGCTCATGTAGAGGAAGCTTCCAATTAGGCTAAGACTATCTCCAAATGTGAAAACGTTCCTGGTATTGCACCACTTTGAACAACTCAGGACAAGTTGTCGGCAGATTACTCGATTTAGCGCAATAACGTCATTATTTCGACTAAATCCGAAACACTTGTCCTCCAAACACGGCCATTCACTGGCGCCGTAAGGTTTGGACCACGCGCCGCGCCCGTGATGCATCGCGCTTCGGTGACCGGGGTGCTGGCTCAACGCCGCCAAGTCTGGCACGGGTCCCGCGAAGGCAAGCCGCGTCCTGTCTGTTGGGAGGTGCTCATCAGTGATGGTTGGCACCATGGCGGGAGTCACCCCTTGCCGGCTCGTCGCTGGTAGCTTGCGGTGGTCCGTTCAGCACAGACGTACGCCGTTTCAAGGGACCGATGCGGGCTTCTCTCTCGCGGAGCCAGTAAAGCGGCCAGCATTGGGTTCACGTTGACCGAACGATGTGTCTTTGTCAGGGTCATTCGCACCGTTAGCTGGCGCAGTGTGAAGTGGCTCCCAGGGATTGTCCCCCCCCCCCCCCCAACCTCCCCTCCTCCCCGCCCGTCCAGCCCTGACGTTGGGTCGGGAGGGCCTCACACCTCATGCCAATATCGCCCCCTTCCTTTGTTTGTTTTTGCCACCAGGCCTGAGTGAGCCCGCGGTGTTGCATGAAGCTAAACATTTACACTTATGAACCAAGATGGCCTGTTTCCCATGCGCGTTGACATGTGCAGTTACACATATTGCCAACTCAGCATGTTTTCGACTGCTCCCTAACTGTCACCATGGTACATGACAATTCCGAATGCTTTCTTACGTGTCCAATGAATGGCATATTCAAGCATGAAGTATTGCATGTGGGTATTTTCGTTTAAAGTAGGGAGAATGTCTTCTCACGTGTCTGAGTGCGTTTTACATTCAGACATGAAGTAATACGCGTGGATATTTTCATTCAAACGGCGGGGAAGGCCGCGAACAAGTGTGATGGTGATCACGGTACTTCATCGATCCACAAACGTAATATTTGCGCACATCAATGGGTAGCGCCGTTATCATCTTTCATGCCGCCCTCGTTTCGCTTTGTTGAGGGACATGGCGAAGCGCTCTCCGTCGCATTATGCGTGATCGAAAGAGTTGTCATGCATGCGTACTCTTTGTTGTTTGTGCTATCTGAAGTGTTCCCTAAAACCGTCTGCCTGCAAAAGCTGGATCCCATGCGGACTGCAGTTAGCGTATTATATAAATACAGTACTGTTTTTTAAAGGTAGCACTGGTCTGCGTGTTTGAGATCAGAATAATGTCAGTGCGTTGTGATGGTAAGAAGGAAGGGCCACTAAAAGATTACGACACACTCAAATATATCCCTTGTCCTTATTGTGAGCCGAATGATGTGCGCAAGCTGCGTATCACGGCCTAAATAATAGCTTATAAATGTTGCTCCTGTGACATGTGCTGACCCATCTTCTCATGTGTAATTCTGTCACACCGGGTCACGGGTTCAGCTTCAGCTTCTTTCTGTGTCCCTACAGGCGGCAGGAGAAGAGGTAAGGTGCAAGTCTAGCGTTTGCAGTGAATGTGGCACCAACATGAACCTAGATTATTCAAATGAATAAGTTTTGATAGTCTACAGATGTGCTTAAAGAGACCCGATCTCGCTTGCGTGGAGTGTGCCTGAACGGCTTCCCATCACCATGCGCGAGTGGTTCCGTCCCCTCTGACATGTCCGGCCATCCCGGTACGGACGCGGAGGTGTCGGTACTGTTCGTCGTTGCATGCAACAGAGAGAAGTGATATCAGAGTTGAATGTTCTTAAGTGTTGGCTGTAAATACGATCCATGCCTTTTGCCAGCACCTGTCGCGTTCCATGTGTGCGTTTAAACGCGTTTCAAACGAAGACAGCGCGGCGAAAAGTACCTGCAAGAAAGATGGCGTTCCTTGCTTGCGTCGTGTTTTTTGTTCTGGGTGTGTTGATTGGGCACTGGATAGGCATCGTGTGGACGCGCGCTGGTAAAAGAAGACGTGAACACGATTGCAGATGCGGTGAATTGACGTAGAGCGGTAGCTTTTAACTCATGCATGATATTACGGAGAGGGCTGGAACCTGTGGCTCATCTGTATCTTGGTATCTGTCAGTCATTTCGAGTATGTGCTAGTTGCGTGTGCTACCAGTTGTGCTCTTGTTCGTTGCAAAACAGTGGAGCTCGAGATAAGGTACCTATACTGTCGCTGAAAAGAACTGCTATCTTGGCACCTTATGTCTCCCTCTGGATTTTGCACGTTGCTCATCACCAACGCCTTGAAATACCCTTACATCCTCCAAATCACCAGCAGGGCCAGACCAGCTGTGTTTTAATCAGTGACCGCGTATGTGAAGCAGTGCGGTCGGCCGTGACCGTACCCTGTGCAGGTCCCTGATATGCTGACTCGCGCCGTTTCTCACTGTGCTGACCCAGTGCCGGTCCGCGGTGTGCTGACCCTGTGCCGGTCCGCGGTGTGCTGACCCTGTGCCGGTCCGCGGTGTGCTGGCCCTGTGCCGGTCCCCGGTATTCTGACCCTGCGCCGATCCCCGGTATGCTGACCCTGTGCCGGTCCGCGGTGTGCTGGCCCTGTGCCGGTCCGCGGTGTTCAGACCCCGTGCCGCTCTGCAGGACCGGCAGGACCGCCTGGAGAGTCGGGCTACGGCGGCCGCGGCGGGCAGCAGGCGGCCTCGCCCCAGATCGTTCCCGGCGCCGTCACCTTCCCCAACAAGGAGGCCATGCTGAAGGTCGGTCGCTTCTCTGCATCACGGGCGCGACAGAAGGCCACATCACGGGCCGGCTCGGTCAGCAGCGTCAGTCGCTGCGCCGGGGCAGCTGCTCACCACGTTACCACCATACGGCCTTGCCACGCCTTGTGCGACCTATCCACGCTCCTTGTCACCTGTTCTCGACCACAGCCATATGATATCTCCCCAGGTTTCACACCAGGATTGTTCGTCCGAGTTCCATCTGACTCGCCGACACGACGCGTACATCATGCATAGTACATTTTAGGGACTAAACCACAAATACTTGCGAAATACACGTTGAGCGCCAAGCTACCGTGGCTAACTGCGTTCTTAAAAAACACAACGATCTTTTATGTATTGTGCATCATGTTTTGAAGGATTATCCTCCATCGTCCAGCCGATGTGGTGATCAATTAAACGCGGAACCCGTCTCCACTAGACGCTAGAACTTGAAAGCAGATGTGACCATATTGTCATGCGTTGCCAATCTCAAAGCCACTTGGTGCGAACCTCATCTGTAGATGCATCATCCCTTCCGTTTTAATATTTAATCACTCGTCAACATTGTGCGACCCGACCCGACCCAGGCAGTGACCTGGCAAAGGTGCGAAATCAGTGCGTGATGTGTATGTCGGTGTGTGACCTGCGTCGTGTGACCTGACAGCGTTCCGAGGTCAGCCCGGTGGGCACGCTGGCGTTCGTGATGGACGAGGAGGCCCTGCTGGTCCGCGTCAGCGCAGGCTGGCAATACGTGTCGGTACGTAACCTCGGTTCGCTGCGACCACCTCGTCTGCATTGGAATTATGGACTTCCGACATTTTGGATTCAGTATTGGAAAAACTTTTTCAATTTTGTTGTGCGGGGACTGTGTTTGTGCAAAGTTGACCTCCATCCAGCCGTCTACGTGGGCGGAGCTGGGGTCTGTGAACCTGTTGTGTACTCTGTCGGTGCGCAGACCGACTCTGTAACACCTGCCGTACCTTTGCACAGCTGGGCTCCGTGGTGGATCATAAACCGACAGAGCCACCCACCACCACTGCGCAGACGGCTGAGCACAGATCGCCGCCCCCCTTCGAGTCCGGCAACCTCGTCTCGCAGGTGGACGGCCCCAGGGTGAGTGGGAGTGAGGCGAGGGAGGGGGCCGACCGTGCACCGAGAGGCTCTGGCTCCGGGGGCGGTGTGCGTGGCGGCCATGGACCATGAGGCTTTGGGTCCAGGGATGTTGTGCGTGCCGACCGTGGACCGGGAGACTCTGGCTTCAGGGATGGTGTGTGTGTCGGATAACAGTGGACCGAGAGACTTTGGCTCCGGGTATGGTGTGCGTGCCGACCGTGGACCGGGAGACTGACTCCGAGGATTGTGTGCGTGCTGACCGTGGACCGGAGACTCTGGCTCCAGAGATGGTGTGCGTGCCAACCGTGGACCGGGAGACCTTGGCTCCAGGGATGTGTGTGTGCCAGCGAACAGTGGACCGAGATGCTCTGGCTCCAGGGATGGTGTGTGTGCCAGCGAACTGCTGGCAGGACGACTGCTCGTGGAATTTACCACCTTCACAAGCATGAAGGAGTTGTGACGCACTCGGTGTAACTGATCGGTGTGAACATTCACGGCCTTGGAACGGGGTGGCTGAAAACTAGCATATAAAGCTGAAGGTCCGCTATGCGCTGAATATTGTGCGACACTGTTTCTAACGTCGTTGTTTTGTTTTCTCCCAGCGCTATCCGCACATGGTAAGTGCCCCGAGCTTAGGCTGGGTATCCCTCAATAAGTTCACTATCAAACCCTCGTGATGGATACACATGCATGGATGTTATATGATAATGTTGAATTAGAATAAGTGGTGACGACATTTGTGGAAGCCATCGTTTTAAGTAAATTTGGCCCCTATGGCTCCCATACGTCATCAACATATCTTTGAAAGTCATTCATTTATGTTAATTTTGTTCTTATGGCATCCTTACGTAACACAAAGAGTGCGAATTCCGCTACATATAGTTTGAATTGGTCGAGTACGGTTATCACACCGTTGCGTTCGGTGTCATGGGCATGCCATTTTTACACAATGATTATTCTTGGGCAAAACTACCTACTTGAGGTGGAATTTTTGCCTGCGGCTATTAAAAATCGGCCCCCGAGCAGTGCCGAAAATGAAACAGCTGGTAAAAGGACCTGGCTCCTCAGAGGGACAACATACCCATAGTTAGCGAGGTATTACGCATTAAACCCCAGGACGTTTGCTGTATCCTCCCATATCGTGCATGGCGAAGGGAATTATGAACAATCTGGTTTCGTGAACCTTCTGATATTTCACCGTTTTGTTTTATCCACTGGGCAGGATGTGACGGCCCCACCTTACCTCATGCCTCTGCGCAGAGTTGTGTGACCATTTCCAGCTGCCCCATGGTTCTTGTGCACAGCTCTGTGACCCTTCCCTGCCGACTCGCTGCAGAGTTGCGTCTGGCGGTGCTGCGCGAGTTATAACCATTCCCGGCCTCTGCTGTGCACAGCTGCGCCTGGCGGCGCTGTGCGAATCGTGACCACTCCCTGCCTCTGCTGTGCACAGCTGCGTCTGGCGGCGCTGAATGAGCCTCACCACGGCGACAAGATGGGCCTGCGGGGCTTCGACTACGAGTGCTACCGGCAGGCCCGCCGCTCCAATCTCCACAGCACGTTCCGCGCGCTGCTCTCGTCCCGCACGCAGAACCTGGACAGTATCGTGCGCACCGAGGACCGCACCCTGCCCGTGGTCAACATTAAGGTCAGAGGGCGGGGCGGGGATTACGGGCGGACCGTGACCCGCGATAGTGTAGATGGTGAGGGGGTTAAGCTGCGCGTCTGTGCTTTTAGAGGTCACGGGTTCGATTCCGCGCGGTGCCCTGCCCCCCTGCCAGGGCGAGAGGCAAGCGACGTCTAGCCTCAGTGGCTGAACCTCAGCAGACGGGCCCCTTATGACGAGCCGACGCGCCTTCGCCAGACAACTCGGTCAGCGGTTGGTTGTGGCGCGAGGAGGCCGACCTAATGGTGAACAAGGCGTTCATTATGGGGGCTGTGCTTATGCGGAGACTCTTTTAGGTAGATGCTGGAAAGGGGGGGGGGGACGTGTGATGGATGCATAAAGAAAAGTTAACTTTGTTTTAATGTACGACATTTATTGCGGTAATCTAACCCGACCGCTCTTGTCTCGCCAGGGTGATCTCCTATTTGAGAGCTGGAAGAGCATATATAAGGGAGACGGAGGAGTGTTCGCGCAAAGACCAACGGTCTACAGCTTTGACGGGAAGGACGTGTTACAGGATGCGTTGTGGTAAGATGGGCTTTAGTGTGCACAAATCCCGAAAAAGTGTCTGCGTTGTGAGGCCACGAAAACATTGGCAAGATAAGGCTTTGAGTCGTGCTGTCGACGTCCCGTGCCTTTGTCTGGCATGTTGGTACTGTCACTCTTGTGTTGTGTTAGGTTGTAGGTTGATAACGGTCATGATTCGGTGAAGTGGTACTCCTGGGACCTGCACTGATCGAGTCTCATGCAATGACCGAGCTGTGTATGACGTTACAATGGTCACAGTCTCTGGTGTGTGTTTGTCAGCTCAGTATCTGCTGCTTAGCCTGCCTCGTCGCCATGACCAGAGCCCTGCAGTCCCTGGCCGCTATCTGCCCAGTCAGCAGCGCTGCCAGCGGCGTCACTGCAGACATGCCCTCTGACCATGCTCGACGTGCACCCCCAGGCCGCAGAAGATCGTCTGGCACGGTGCCACCGAGCGCGGTGAGCGCGACCTAGACAATTACTGCGACGCCTGGCACTCCTCTTCTGCTGACAAGGTCGGCATGGCCAGCAGTCTGTTCCACAGCCGGCTGCTCGAACAGGAAACTTACGCCTGTAACAACCGCTTCATCGTGCTCTGCGTCGAGGTGGGCAACATGCGGCGGCGGCGGCGGCGCAGCGTCGACAGCGACGTGCTGATGAGCCCCGAGCAGTACGCCGAGCTGCTGCAGCAGCTGGACTCGGAACAAGCCGAGTAGGCGACCCGGTCCCCCGGCCGCTGCTGCCGCCCGGCCGGCCCAGAGACGTGATACGCCGGCCACCGCCGGAGTTGTTGTTGTTTTCGTGTCGGCGCCGCGCCGTTTGGTGCGTTCTGCTCTCTGTTCTGCTGTCCGTCTAGCGGGTGCGCACCCGCCGTGTGCTTGGATTTGTGGACTTGACGCGGGGCGGCCACAGGCAATAAGCACCGCTGAGGATGAGAACTTCTTAATTTTTTCCGGGCATTTCGCGCCGCGGTCAGCGATTTCTATGCGAGGCCCTGTGAGCACAATCACTGCCAGTGTTTGTCAATAATCATCTTCTTTTCGGAGGTGCGTCTACGGGACATCATTCCATCGGTTCTGGACACGTGATATGTTTTATCCGCGTGCATTGCTTGCTTGGGCAGCGGAATGCCTCGGTTTGAGAGGTGTTGTCAATTTTTATCACGTGTTTCCATTTTGTGATAATTCATAACGCTTTTAGTTGAACTTAAGTATGATTTAAGGCTTAATTAGTCTTATTGAAAGCAAGAGCTTTGACGAGATGCTTTGGTTAGCTTACGGCTTGTTTTAGTTACAACTTGGTCAATGCGATGCTAATGGTTTTCTGCTTGTGCCAAACTTATCACGCTAGTCCAGTGTAGTTTGTTTTGTAAATTTTAACATTTCGGTGAAAATGTGACGAGCTGGCCGGCCTTCTACCTACGGCAGCTAGGGCCTCTCACAGAATTAGCACTTTTTAAACGAATATTTGATGACCCCAATCCTTTTTTCTCCGCGAGTTTTGAGAACAGTGTGTAAAACAAACCCTAGCCCTGCGGTCGTGTGGCAGTTCTTCCATTTTCAATAATAGCTATGTATGTATTCGAATTAGACCTGTAATTGTGTGCGTTCTTTCCACATTGCTGTATAGGGAGATCGGCTTCGCTTTGATGTTTTGTGAGAAATAAACGTAGTCAAATGTATCTGTTTCTGGATTTGCATGGTCCTGAAATACGTGCACGCTAAGTGTCAGGGCACTAGTCTTCAAGACGCAAAATACAACAATTGTGAGCTGAATTTTGTAAGTCCAGGCAAGTACACATATGTGTATAAGAAAGGCTGTTCTTCCGTTTCATCTATCAGTTTTACATTTTTCAAATTATTGATGCAAAGTGAAGCTTACTCATTTAATGTGTCACTAAGCGAAAACCGTTCTTTGCTACTCTTTATTGAACAAGCTAATGGCATAGTATATAGTAATGCCTTATTAGTGCAAGCGTGTACTGCGGAGAACTTGTGTGAAAGCAAGAGAAGCAAGCAGACACACAACCTCAACACGAAGCCATTACACAATCAGCGCGAAGGAGTGAATTGTGTCATTCAAAGCAATGCGTCACTGGGACGAGTCACGCAACAGTCAGCGTGGTGACAACTCTTTGGTGTTATTACCATCCACTGCGGTCACGGAACTGTACGCCACGGCACTTCAGGATGCTCCACGTATACACCCGCAATCCTAATGTATTCTTTCAAGACTGTTAAGCCGCACCCCAAACGCGACTCATAATCTTAAGTCAATCAAAATGCAAATATTCGCAGACGGAATAAATCTTACACAGCCCCGTTAAATGTTTGCATGTTTGCCTTATAAATTCGCTTTAAATTTGCTCAATCGATTCACATAACAAGACAGGGGATCAACTCAGCTGACACCCGTGTCTGACCCAATGCGCCATTGACGATTATCTCGAAGGCTTCGGCGTGCGGCCGGCAACTGGGTACGGGCATCCGCCAGGCTAGTCTATAATGCGTTTTTGAACATGCTCAAGAGAGGAGGGTTGTCACGAGAGAGACAGAAAGAGAGAGAGGGGGGAGAGGAGGAGGAGGAGGAGGAGGAGCGGGACCCCACGCGCATGTTGCAGGCGTTTTGCATAGTCAGGAAAAATCTAGGTGTTTCACGCAATGCCAGCGTTGCATGTAGCCTTCCTAAAATCATCCTTTTCACGCTAGCTGACTGGAAATAGTAAGCGCATCTTCAAATGTCCAATAAGTCGTGATGGTTACCGTAAGCGCCGTTACTGCACTTTTTGCCGGGCAGATATTATCATTTCAAAGCATTTCGTGAAACGCCAGAAAAGTTTTGGAGACGTTTCAAGCAAAGTATGACAAGACGGGGCAAAATTATGTTGGAATGGGCCGCTTACGTTTGATGTTCCAATGCACGATTACTGTTGTCCACCGCACTTTCTCCTCAAAGCATAAAACTAACCGCTCTACCTGATTACGCGTCAACCATAAGTTCTCAGTCGTTTCAAGTGCGCGGTCAGTTCTGAGTAGATCATGAAGGAAGTGCCACATGTCTGTGCATGCGGAAGTAGCCGCCGAACAGCAATCAGGAAAACAGGGGCTTGCGGAGGCCTCTCTTGAGCAGCCTTCGTTTCACGACGGAGGTTCACCACGTGCGCGTGTTTGGCAGGTTCGAAACAGTGTAGCACCATGCACAAGTGCTACTGCACCGCTCGTAATGAGCACGCTTAGATGTCACAATGGCACGTCCTGCGTCAACAAGCAGAAAGACGAATGGCGATGACTGTTGGCCACACACGAGCGAACTTGTTAAAAAAGAGGCACGTTGTCTTTAATCATCGTCTTCGAGCGTTGCTTATCTTGAGCTACAAAACGAATGTCCCGCTTATTTCGAGCTTTTTTAGTTAGTCCTGTCAGCTTGGAGAGATGAATGTTTGAACCTGTCGCTTCACCCAGTTCCAAACAGCGTAATTACTCTGACTTTGGGGAGCGTCCGCCTCCTCGTGGGCACTCCAAGCAGCGCCTAAGGCTTGCAGTCAGATTGCACAATGATAGTGGGGTTATGGAAGTTGCATGAAACGCCGGCATTACAAGAAACGCTTATTTTTCCTGCAGTGCCGGTGAACACCAGATATCTGCGACACATCCAAACCTTTGCTATTATGAAAGCGTGTTTAAGGCGCACACTATTCATTGCTAACAGCCGGCATCGACCCTGTGCGTGCTTGCCACCAGTTACGTACACGTGGCCAAGCACAGCGACTCGTAAAATTGATGCATAGGTATGGACTACACGCGCAGCTTATCCTGCACAGAATGACTGATGAACGGCAGCACGAGTCGCACCGTCACCATCAGCGGCTTTAAGTCTGCCGGTACGACGTCAAGAGCGCCGCAATACGGTCAGCTCCGTGTGAAAACACCGGGATGGATTTCATCAGGTTGCTTCAAGTTTACTTGTCTTACCACGTTTCCTTAGACTAACAATTCTGCCTGGAACAGCGAAGCATTTGGTTAGAAAAGCTAGCCCCGTGCTCCAGATCAGTCAGGTCGCCGTCATGTCTGATTTGGGTACGGAACGGTGACCCCAACATCCACCTTAAATCATTATTAGTGCATTAAACGTCGATCCCAATTATCTAACTGACGTACCGATAATTATCTAAATGACATACCGATAAAGCTTGATTTATGCATGTGTCGCGCGCTTCTAACGAAACGACCACAGGAAACCTTCGCTGTCCTCTCTGGCTCTACCACAAAAAATAACGAGAGAACTTGAAGAGCACGACCTTATCATGGCCGCCAACCGCTCCCCAGCGCCATCTTCTTTGTTCCACCATCACTGCTTCCTCTGCTCCAGCATCTGGCGGTACATCTCCATCCCCTCCCGGTTGCACTCGTCGTAGTAGGGCAGCGTCGCCTGCAGGTGCGCCTGCCAGGTGCGCAGGCGTGCGTACGAGTCGGTGCGGTAGTTGTGCGCCTGCAGGCGGGAGACGGTGGCGAGCAGCGACAGGTCAGCGATGCTCAACCGGTCGCCCACGGCGTAGTGGCCCTCCAGGAAGCGGTCCAGGTAGTCGAGCGACTGCTTGAGAGCGTTGGCCTTGGTGTCGTCGGGCGCGTGCCCGTGGTGGATCACTGGCTCCTGGAGGCACGTCCAGGAGGCGGGTCACACAACAGACAACCGACGGCTCCTGGAGACACGTCCAGGAGTCGGGTCACACAACAGACAACCAACGGCTCCTGGAGGCACGTCCAGGAGCGGGTCACACATAGACAACCAACGGCTCCTGGGGACACATCCAGGAGTCGGGTCACACAACAGACAACCAACGGCTCCTGGAGACACGTATGGGAGTCGGGTCACACGACAGATGTACGGAGAACCAACGGCTCCTGGGGTCACGTCCGGGAAACGGGTCCACAACACAACCAACGGCTCCTGGGACACATCCAAGAGTCGGGTCACACGACAGACGCGCACGGACAACCAACGGCTCCTGGGTGCACGTCCAGGAGTCGGATCACACAACAGAGGCGCACGGACGGCCAACGGCTCCTACGGACGTGTCCAGAAGTCGGGTCACACAACAGACGCGCACGGACGGCCAACGGCTCCTGGGTGCACGTCCAGGAGTCGGGTCACACAACAGATGCGCACGGATAACCAACGGCTCCTGGTGCACGTCCAGGAGTCAGGTCACGTAACAGCCCACATGGATGTGTGGCAGCGGTGAATCTCCTGGGACTTAGCACCGGGCTCGATCCAATGCTCCCAAACTGTGTCGCAGCTGTGATGGAGCGTCGCGTTCGTACATACAGTGTCTGCATACCCGTGACACTCAGAGGCATCCGCGAATGGTAGCGAAGATTGATTGCCTACATCGGGCGGCGGTGCGTCAAGTACGCATGCAGCAAATCACTCACTGGCAGTCGCATTTGTGATGACTGGAAAACAATGTCAAGTATGTGAACGACCTAGGAGGTAGAGCGCTTACCATTGGAGCATATTGCCCGTGCCTTATCAGTAGCACGGGCAAGCATATTGGCCGTGCTACTGATAATAGTACAGTCAGATTACACTAATCCTTACTGACAATGGTAAGGATGAGCGTTGAACTGACCAGAAAGCTTATCGGCAGACATGTGTAAAATAAACTCACTTGCTTTCTGTTGCAAACCAAAATCATTATATTTCATTTAAAATAGGTTGTTTGTGTTCAATCCTAAACATTAAGAGGTCCAACAATAAAAACAGCATGGGACCTGAATCATTTAGTCAACGCGGACACATGCATACGCACACGCACATGCACACACACACACACACGCACTCACACGTACACGCACACGCGCACACACATGCACGCACACACGCAACACACGCACATTTGCTGTTCATGATATCCAGAATGCATCATGTTCTTACATGAGCTGAGAATGCGTCACTGATTACCATGCAATGTAATGTTATGATGGTGCCCAACACGGCATCGGGATGAAGGCCCACATGGCCGAGAACAGTGCTGGTCATTAAGCCGGCAGGGTATGGACGTCTTCAAATTAACCATAGGCTAAGACAGTGATGATGGCCTTATTCCTCAGAGAAAAACCACCAGAATGGAGACAAAAATGCGTTGATATGTCGTCAGCATGCCCTTTTGTAACCAATAGCAGAAGTCCTATCAAGACTTCTGGATAGCAGATACAAAATAGCGGACTTCTGCTATTGGTTTTGATAAAGGTATGTTGCAAAAATTTTAACGCATGTGCATCTCCATTCTCCTGGTTTTTCTCCGAGCAATAAGGCTATTACTGCTGTCTTATTTATACGAACAATGTTCCTCGCAAATGCACTTAACAGTTAACCAAAGGCTACCAAAAATTCCATCCAGTTCTTTACTTCCTCATACAAAAAAAAACATTTCAAACGGCAGATTTCCATTTTCAATGCGATGTAAGCACTTTTGCCCTCTTCCTTTGGCTGAAAATAGGAGTTATGGAGAGTGCATTAGGACGAACTCTTGCCAAAACAAACAAAAGCAATCAGATTAAGCAAAATAATACGGGACAGATATATATATATATATATATATATATATATATATATATATATATATATATATATATATATATATATGTTTTTTTTTTGCCTCGGAATAGCGTAATTCACTCGAAGGCACTTTTGACCGGTCTGATCCCCTTAACGTATATATTACCTTGTGGAGAGAGTAGGGTGAGTTGTATCATGTCCAAGAGCATCAGGGTGAATTATTACAAATCTGCGCGATGGATGACAGTTTTGAATCACTCAGCGGACTCACAGCAGCTCGCTTTACCTTTCAGGGTACTTCTGGCTGCCGCCTGCGTGCACACGCCTTGGGATGAGAGCGACAAACAGGTTTTTGTATATCGTTACCATAGCAATCGGTGGAAAGTGTCCTAAGGCAATACGGCATAACTAAACCAATCGTAATGCTACACGGAGTGGAAGGGGAGTTCATGTGTGCTTTATGCTGCTGCAACATGGTGCTTCTCTGCTTGCCCAAGATTTCGGGTGGCGCGAGCTGTCTTCCAAGTCGGTACATGCGTGTCAGCTGTGCATGGGGCATGTTGTATCAGTGATAGAATGTACCGACCAAATGTAACTGACTTGCTGCCAATAATTGCATGATATGATTGCCGTGACTTACAGTCATTCGGATGGTAAGTCGCTATTTTCTACGATTATGTAGACCAGTAATCTTCCCGAGCAACAGAACAGGCTGCAGTGGTCGCACAGCAAACTCAGATGAAATGGCAAAATTTGTCATGTCAAAGTCACGATGAGTTACGAAACAGCACAGACGAGCACGTTACGTTTACATGTCGTAACGCATTCCGCTTACTGGCGATGCAACTTACTCTATGGCAAAAAGGTAACATAAGCACAACTTTCCCAACATACGATGCAATTTTCCGGGCTCAACTTCCCTGGGTAGGGCAAGTTGTCTCAGTTGAGAGGAGGTCATTCAAAAGTTATTTACCATAAAAAGAAATGCTCCCCAAAACGTAGCAGTTACACAGAAAACTGAAGGTTTACACCTGTCTGCAGATAAAATAATAATGTTCCTATCCTCAGTAGTTAAAGCAGGCGGGAGCCCAGACTGAAAACTGTAAAACTCTCCCTTCTCTCCCCCATCCAAGTATTCTTCCACACACACTTCACATACCGGCGGGAATTGTAGAGAAGTTGGCATGGCAACGCCGCCGCAGCGAGTGCATTGCAATGGGAGAAGTTAAGCGTATGCTAATCGCTAGTTCCCGTGAAAACCGACGCGCCCTGCCGCCAGCGGGCGGCGCCGGGCCGCCGAGCTCAGCTGCTCACAAAGTATTCCAGAATGGCCCTGTTGAGTGTGACCAAGTCGAACTGGAGCAGTCGGTCGATGGTGGCGCGCCTCTGGTGGTCGTTGGCGGGGTACAGGTGGTCGTACTCAGGCCGGCCGTGTGCGCTCACCAGGTACTGCAAGATCGCCCGGCTGCAACACACAGCGCGCGCGCGCGCGCACCACGTCACACCTCGTGCACAGAGCGTCAGGGGCACGCGCACACCACGTGCACGCACTGTCGCTGGCGCTGCTGCTGAGCGGCGCGGACACGTTCAGCGCCGGACGGCGGTGGTGTGGGACGGACGGCAGTGGTGTGGGGCTGACGGCAGTGGTGTGGGGCTGACGGCAGTGGTGTGGGACGGACGGCGGCGGTGTGGGGCTGACGGCAGTGGTGTGGGACGGACGGCGGTGGTGTGGGGCTGACGGCAGTGGTGTGGGGCTGACGGCAGTGGTGTGGGACGGACGGCAGTGGTGTGGGACGGACGGCGGTGGTGTGGGGCTGACGGCAGTGGTGTGGGTCGGATGACAGTGGTGTGGGACGGACGGCGGTGGTGTACTGACGGCTGGTGTGGACGGACGGCAGTGGTGTGGGGCTGACGGCAGTGGTGTGGGTCGGACGGCAGTGGTGTGGGCGGACGGCAGTGGTGTAGGGCTGACGGCAGTGGTGTAGGGCTGACGGCAGTGGTGTGGGTCGGACGGCAGTGGTGTGGTGGTGGGGACGGACGGCGGGGTGTGGGTCGGACGCTGGTCGGACGACCGGGGAGAAACGGACGTGGCTGAGGCAAGGCAATAGACGGTGGTAGGGAAAGGAGTAGGGTAGAGTATGGAGAGTTGTAAGAGTGGAGAATGTGGCAGTAGTAAAGTTAAAGAGAGTGCTCTTTCACGGAGGCAAGGGAGAAGGCGGGTCCGTGGAGAGCCAGCGGCGAAATGTTACCGGTCGAAGAGATGGACAAACGGACGGATGAGCAAATAATGCAGTCGCGCAGTACCATTAGATGGCACACTGCGCTTTCCATTGTCCCCGGGGTGCAAAGACAGCCGTCCCTTTATCAGTGGCTGCAGTTCGCCTTGAAAGACACCAGTTCAACGTCATATGAGCACAGTCGGCGCTCATGTGATGACCTCTTGCGAAACAGTGACTGAAATAGAAGTCGGATCGTTGCTCAGGGCGTCAGAATTGCATCGAACGCCTTCTCGGTGAATCCGCCTTTCTACTTAGTGCGCTCTAGCAGGGGTCATGTTCGACACCAGAGCAAGATTACACGGGCTATTCAGCTAACATGCCTCATTCATGCTCTGGCACGGCGCTCAGATTGGCTCATTCTCAGCCCACTCTCTCACTCACGGAGCCTATTCATGGTATGGAAATCAGAGGTTCTGAGCGGGATGGCAGAGCGGTAGCGAAAGAGGGACAGGGATAGAGCGGGAGAGAGGGAAGGGAGTGAGAGAGGAGGAGAGAGCGAGAGAGAGAGAGAGAGAGGAGGGAAGAGCAACAAACGCCCACCATATTTGTGCAACCACGTGTAGCACGAAAGTGTCAAGGACGGACAACCGCTTGTGCCGAGCAACGAGCGTCGATGACCGTCCGCCGCGCTCTTCGAGACCGTTCTGCTGCGTGAGGCTCTCGCCACGAGCGGCTCTCGTCAGGCGAGCCGAATTCAGCGCGCCGTTCCCGACGGTCCACACCGGTCGGCGCGTCCGCCGCTGGACAGCTGAGCGCTGCCGCGGCGCCGCGGCGCCGGCTCGCTGCCCATGCCGGGCCGAGAGCTGGCCGCGATGCACTCCCCCCGCCGCGGCCCGGCCCGGCGCTGCACACACATCGGACCCCTCCAGCCATTAGTCCTGACGCACTCCCGCCCGCCGCGGCCCGGCCCGGCGCCGCACACATCTGGCCCTTCCGGCCATTAGTCCTGACGTACTCCCGCCCACCGCGGCCCGGCCCGGCGCCGCACATATCTGACCCCTCCAGCCATTAGTCCTGGTGCACTCCCGCCCGCCGCGCCCCGGCCCGGCGCCGCACACATCTGACCCCTCCAGCCATTAGTCCTGACGCACTCCCGCGCGCCGCGGCCCGGCCTGGCGCTGCACACATCTGACCCCTCCAGCCATTAGTCCTGACGCACTCCCGCGCGTCGCGGCCCGGCCTGGCGCTGCACACATCTGACCCCTCCGGCCATTAGTCTTGGCGCGCGAACGCAGCCCGGCGCGTCGGGCCGGCGCTGCACACATCTGACCCCACCGGCTACTAGTCCCGACGCGCGTGCGCAGCGCGTCGGGCCGGCGCCGCACACATCTGACCCCTCCGGTCATTAGTCCTGACGCACTCCCGCCCGCCGCGGCCCGGCCTGGCGCTGCACACATCTGACCCCTCCGGCCATTAGTCCTGACGCGCGAGCGCAGCCCGGCGCGTCGGGCCGGCGCTGCACACATCTGACCCCTCCAGCCATTAGTCCTCACGCGCGAGCGCAGCCCGGCGCGTCGGGCCGGCCGCGCCTGTGGTGCAGCCTTGAACCGCCGTCGAATAACAGCGCCGAGTGGCGGCCGCGGCGGCGACGCGCGCCGCCAGCGCTGCCGCCCTGTCGCCTGCCGCGACCGGCCGCGCCGGCGAGGGAGAGGCACCGGCGGAGACCCCGCCAGCACGGGAGCCGCCTGTGCCAGCGGCGGCAGGCTGATGCGACCGGGGACAGGTGCTGGCGTGGCGCACCGAGCTCAGACAGGGCCGTACATGGCCCGCCGAGAGGGCGGGCGATGTAGTCTCCGCTGGGGCTCGGGGGAGCTGACGGACGTGCGGACGGCACGCCCAGAGCACGGGTGATGGCGCCGGTGTGCCGGAGGGCTGGATAAGCGACTGTCCTCTCGGTACACGGCGCTATACTGGCTCACAAGGGGGTGCACAGAGGTACATGTGCAAACTGACAACCCATTGGTAGACATGTGTGGTGCGCAGGCACTGGACCGTCTGGTGGACGGACGCTAGCCGCTTGGTGGGCATGCTCGTCATGGACGTATAGACTCGCCATGGACATTCATATCGGTGTATGGAACGAAATTATCTTACTAGAGACAGTGACGTCACTTAATATGCTTTGAGGGGGGGGGAGGAGCTGTCAACCTACACCCATTGCTGCCCTTACCCCCCCCCCCCCCCTCCCCTCCTCCTCCATTCCGCACAATGTTCTCTCCGCTCTCCAACGCATTTGGGCAAAATGGGAATCCCGGGCCAAGGAAACGCAGAAATATCCCTGAACTTGATATAACAAGGCCTGGCATTTCCGCATTATGAGTGGCAAGTTCTAATGCTAACGGCTTTTATTATGCCTGGTTAAACGATGGCATAATTCTAAGTAGCAATAATACCGACGATACTCAATGTTTCGAGCCGTGCTCGACTTTAAGAAAGTGTGCATGACGCATGCATCCAGATCATCATATATTTAATATACTTCATATGCTTCCAAACTCTTGAGGATGAGCACAGCCTCAAATTCTTAAAGCTGCCAATATAATCGTCATTTGCATTACAAAGTTATTTAACCAGTACTTCCTGGTATATTGAAGGCTGCTAACTTAACATAAGAACTTTTAACTCACCATAGTCCTGAACGGTTGGTCTATGAACACATTGCTATAGATTTAACGTTGATCTTGAGAGCTCCTCTAAAGGTGTTGCAAACCACTCTATGGCACAACGGTATCCAGCTGTCTATACACCTCCTCACTTATGAACAGGAGCTTCACATAGATGCGATTTGTTTGCTTCAGCTTATGACGAATGTATCATATGACAGATTATTACGACTTCTTCGCGAACGTGACGTGCTGTTTTATCGAGGACGTGCGGCACAGGCAGCGGGCCCCACCCTCGGTGATTATCGAGGACGTGCAGCACAGGTGACAGACCCCACTCTCGGTGATCCAGATGGCCGCTTGCACGTTCGTTCACAGTCGCACACAGTGCTGAGGGCAGGGTGCACACTGCGCACACTTCCTTCATAAGTGAGAAACGATCAGATTGTCTGAACAGGAGTGAAGACGCGTGCGAACACGCACGAGTAACCGTCCCGAAAAGCGGGAGGGCGGAATCCCTCTCGAGGGGGACAACTTCCACGGATAGACTTGGCGTTAACGCTAAGCTTTCACAAAAATTGGTGGGTCAGTTGCGCACGGATCTCCAGTTCTGATGCCCACGGTGTCAATCATTCTCCTTGGGGAAAAACGTTCAGATCGTTTTCCTGGGTGGGTAGAAAGAAGCTCATCTGCAATCCTTGCAAAGAAGGGAATGCAATTATTATTAAGCTCTCAATGGGCATGCGGTTACGACCAATGGATACGGGCGTCAAAGTCTTTCTTTCAAGTATGGACGACGAACATACTCTTATAATTCTTCCGAAGATGGACATATGTTCCGCCAGGCCTCCCAAGGATCGCAAGGACAGACAAGAGGTTATTTAACATTTCCGCCAAGGTGCATTGCACTCTAGGAAGGGTTGAAGCTCTCTGTAACAGTCATTTGTCCAGGTCCAAAAACTCCGTCGGCATTCGTCTCCCAGTCCTAGTTTCAAGATCCTACTTTATACCTCTGGCATATTACGTAAGGCTGAGTTCAATCAATTTAATGTTTAATGATAGGTGTGTTCGAGTCTGACTCCAATTCTTTGGAGAAGTAGTTCGCGCCTTCCTCTGTGCCCCGGCCCATCAGTTCATCATTGAATGACACTGGATAAAGATAATGTATATCAGATTGTCAGAGATAAAGTACGTCAAGAACAAAAACCTGGAAAAGCAAACAAGGTCAAGCTTAACCTAACTAAGACATGCTGATCTTAACTGACGTCTCATCAAATTATCATTGAAAACGTATCAAATTGTATGGTTACGTTGATGGCCTTCCCCGTATTTCTAACCTAATCTAGCAAAACCAATTCAGCCTAACCAAACCGAAGGCAGCCGAAACGGCCAAAATGAGGCTGACCGACACAACCAAACACAAAGGCGACGTCGGTCGCTCATAACCTGCCTGCTCATGTTATCCATGGTAGGCTGTGAGGGGTGTCTGTTCATTTCATCTATAACCAGGGCCGTTGATATCTGTAAGTGATCGCGGAGCCGAGCGCAGGGGCCGGCGACATGACCCCCCCCCCCCTCCCCCC